TGTTATCTATAATAGAAAAAAAACTGAAACAGATGTAAATAGTGGAATGGTTTCATACGTTCTGGCATACTAGAGTGCCAGGACTATTATGTAGTCATTAAGTGAATAATTTGCAGATCATGAAGAAGTTTATATGTTAAATGAGAATTTTATTATAGTATCTTATCCAGAAGAAAAGGGAACACTGCCCAACTCATTCTATGAGGCCAAAGTGATACAAAGGCATCACAAGAAAGGAAAACTACAGACCAATAACCCTTATGAAAACCGAAGCAAAAGTCCTCAACAAAACACTAGCAAACCAAATTCAGCAGCAAATTAAAAGGATTATATACCATGACCAATAAGGATTAATTCTAGAATGCAAGGGTGAGTCATCATACAAAAATCAATGTAGGGGCTTCCCTGGTGGCGTAGTGGTTGAGAGTCCTCCTGCCAATGCAGGGGACATGGGTTTGTGCCCGTCTGGGAAGATCCCACATGCCGAGGAGCGGCTAGGCCCGTGAGCCACGGCCGCTGAGCCTGCGCGTCCGGAACCTGTGCTCCGCAATGGGAGAGGCCACAACAGTGAGAGGTCCGCGTACCGCAAAAAAAAAAAAGTAGTACATCAAACTAACAGAATGAAGAAACTGCATGATCATCTGAACAGATATAGAAAAAGTGTTTGACAAAATCTAACGCCCTTTCAGGGCTTCCCTGGTGGCGCAGTGGTTCAGTGGTTGAGAGTCCGCCTGCCAATGCAGGGGACGCAGGTTCGTGCCCCGGTCCGGGAGGATCCCACATGCCGCGGAGTGGCTGGGCCCGTGAGCCATGGCCGCTGAGCCTGCGCGTCCGGAGCCTGTGCTCCACAATGGGAGAGGCCACAGCAGTGAGAGGCCCACGTACAGCAAAACAAAAACAAAAAACAAAACAAAAAAACAAACAAAAATCTAACGCCCTTTCAGATAAAAACACTGAACAAACTAGGAATAAAAGGGAAATGCTTCAATATGGTAATAAAGGACATTTGTGAAAAACCTACAGCTAACATACTCAAAGGTGAAAGACTGAAAGCTTCTCCCCTAAGGTCAGGAAAAAAAACAAGGATACCTGCTTTTGCCACTTCTATTCAACACTGTACTGGAGATCTAGCCAGGGCAAGTAAGCAAGAAAAAAAAAAAACTATCCAGATTGGAAAGGAAGAAGGAAAACCATCTCTATTCACAGATGACATGATCTTAAATATAGAAAACCCTAGAGAATCCACACAGAAAAAGAGAACTATTAAAGCTAATACATAAGTACAGCAAAGCTGCAGGATAGAAAATCAATATACGAAACTCAACTGTATTCCTATACACTAGCAATGAATAATCCAAAAAATGAAATTAAGAAAACAATTTCATTTACAACTGTATCAAAAGAATAAAATGTTTAGGAATAAACTGAACCAAGGAACTATAAGACTTAAACACAGAAAACTATAAAACATCATTGAAAGAAATTAAAGAAGGCTTAAATACATTCCAGCCCATGTTCATGGATTGAAATATTTAATAATACTGTTAAGACAGTAACATTCCCCAAATTGATCTACAGATTCAATGAAATCCCTATCAAAATTCCAACTTCCCTTTTTGCAGAAATGGACAACCTGATCCTAAACATTGATAAAGAAGAACAAAGTGGGAGAACTCACACTTCTTGATTTCAAACCTTATTACAAAGCTAGAGTAATCAAAACATAAGGATAAAGATATCCTGGCATAAGGATAGATATATGTATCAATGGAATAGAATCGAGAGTCCAGAACTAAACCTATAAACATCTATGACCAATTCATTTCCACAAGGGTACCAAGACCATTGGATAAGGAAAAAATTAGTCTTTTCAACAAGTGGTGCTGGGACAACTGGATATCTACATGCAAAAGAATGAACTTGGAAGTCCTACCTTATGCCATATATACAAAGTAACTCAAAAGGATCAAAGATCTAAATGTAGGAACTAAAGCTCTAAAATTCTAAGAAGGAAAAAGATGAAAAATCTGCATGACCTTGGATTAAGCAATGGTTTTTAAAATATGACATCAGAAGCACAGAACTCTAAGAAAAAATAAATTAGACTTCTATAAAATTTAAACTTTTGTGTATTAAAGGACACTATATCAAATGAAAAGACAACCTACAGAATGGGAAATATTTTTGCAAATCATGTATATGATAAGAGCCTAGTAGCCATCGCATATAAAGTACTCTTACAATTCAACAATAAAAGACAATGCAATTTAAAAATGGGCAAAGGATCTGAATAGACATTTTCCCCAAAGAAGATATACAAATGGCCAATAAGACATGAAAAGATGCTCTTCATCATTAGCCATTAGGGAAATGCAAATCAAAACCACAATGAGATACCACTTTACACACAGTAGAATGGCTATAATAAAAAAGACAGACGATACCAAGTGTTAGAAAGGATGTGGAGAAACTGGAACTTTCATGTATTGCTAGTGAAAATGTAAAATGGTACAGCCACTTTGGAAAACATTTTGGCAGTTCCCCAAAAAGTTAAACATAAAGTTATCACATGACACAGCAACTTCCAGTGTATATCCAAGAGAATTAAAAAATATACATCCCTATAAAAACTTGTACCTGAATGATCACAGCAGTATTATTTATAATAGCCCCAAAGTGGAAACAATCCATCAGTTGATGAATGAATAAACAAAATGTTATGTATCCATAAAATGGAATATTCAGCCATAAAAAGGAACTGTTATGGACTAAATGTTTGTCACCCCCCAAATCCATATCTTGAAGTCCTAATCCCCAACATGATGATATTTGGAGCTGGGGCTTTGGGAGGTAATTAGGTTTATACGAGGTCATGAGTGTGGAGCCTGTGTGATGGGATTGGTGACCTTATAAGAGGACCAAGAGACCAGAGCTATCTCTCTCTCCCACCTCTATGTGAGGATACAGCAAAAGGCAATCATCTGCAAACCAGGAAGAGGGTGCTCACCAGAACCTGTCCATGATGGCATTCTGATCTTGGACTTTCAGGCTCCAGAACTGTGAGAAATAAGTGTTTGTTGTTTAAGCCACCCAGTCTATGGTATTTGTTATAGCAGCTCGAGCTGACTTAAGACAGGAATGAAATACTATATGCTATAACATGGATGAACCTTGAAAACGTTATGCTAAGTGAAAGACCCCAGACACAAAAGGCCACATATTATATGAGTACATTTATATTAAATATCCAGATAGGTAAATCCATAGAGAAAGTAGATTAGTGGTTGCCAGGTGATGGGGGCAGGGGGAAATTGGGACTATCTACTAACAGGCATTGGTTTCTTTTGGAGTGATAGAAATGTCCTGGAATTAGATAGTGGTGATGGCTGCACAACACTGTGAATATACTAAAAATCTCTGAATTATACATGTTAGAATTATTAAAATGGTGTATTTTATCTCAATTTTTAAAAATTTTTATCCAAATCATATTTACAACTGTATGTGAAATAGAAACATTTGAAATAAAATAAAATTTAAAAACAGAGGGGCTGTGGATTATATTTTTCTCTTTAAAAACCTCTTAATTTTCAGTATAGCATTGTTTATAACAAGAAAAAACTGAAACCAACCTAAACATTCATTATTAGCGAACTGTTTAAATTATGATGCAGTTATCAAAATGAATGAGCTATAGTACAAGTAGTTGAAAAAAGCAGAGGGCCAAACAGTGGCTGAAGTATGATCCCATTTTTGTGTCTTTTTTTTTTTTTGGTGGGGGGTGCCCTCACCGAGCAGTATGCGGGATCTTATTTCCCCGAACAGGGATCGAACCTGTGCCCCCTGCAGTGGAAGCACAGAGTCTTAACCTCTGGACCACCAGGGAAGTCCCTTTGTGTGTTTTTAACGCTGTGCCAAAAACACTTGTATCTGCACAAGCTCTTATCAGTGGTAACCACAGAAGAGTGGGACTTGGAGACTTATTTTTAATTTTATGCTATTTGGTATTATTTGATATTTTAATAAAAATTGTTTGAAATAAGGCTTCCCTGGTGGCGCAGTGGTTGAGAGTCCACCTGCCGATGCAGGGGACACGGGTTTGTGCCCTGGTCCGGGAAGATCCCACATGCCGAGGAGCGGCTAGGCCCGTGAGCCATGGCTGCTGAGCCTGCGTGTCCGGAGCCTGTGCTCCGCAACGGGAGAGGCCACAACAGTGAGAGGCCCGCGTACCACAAAAAAAAAAAAAATTTTTGAAATAAAATGTTTGATTCATCTTTTGGAAAACAACTTCAAGTATTTAGATGGCTTTCAAACATAGTAGATATTCAAGTATTTGTTGAATGTAACAGTTGCTGTATACACGGAAAGCTTCTTCAAACGTTATTGTGTTTTACAATCAGAAAATGGATGTTGCCATAACATGATCTACATTTTCTGAAAGACTGTTTGGAAATGCTGCCTTATGATGAGTGCAATTTGCCACAAAGCCATTTTATGTGGTATATATGCCACAGAAGAAAAACCATTGTTAGGTGAAAAACAACTCTACATATGAAGAGAATACAAAATGAGAAATTATATTCCTAATAACAATGAAAAATTATGCATTATGCAGTGGTTTGTGATCTTAGATATACAACGTGACCTTGATGTAAAGGCATTGTGCCTATAAGGACATGAAGGCCATTTATCAGTAAAGAGAAAATTTGCTTGGATTAACGCACAGAAAGGTACTAATGATATATAATAATAGGAACATTATACAAGTATTAAATTACATGAAAATGTACAAAAGGTATCTGTAGCGTGAGACGCCTAAAAGGTACGTTAGCAAAAATAAACGATACATATTTCTTCTAATTCTTAATGTTGTCAGAGAATCTCCAGGACTGAATAAACATTGGAGAAATTTGCTTTGAGGTAGACATGAAAATACCAAAACAGAAATTCATACTTCTACTTATGGAGTAATGATGGCAATATAAGGAAAAAAATCCTACCTGCCATTCAAATTCGCTATCTGACCAATCCCAGTATGTGCTAATAGAAGAAGAGACATCACTGCAGACACTCCCCTCAGGGAATAAATCAAAAGACGTGAAGTCCTGATCATCTAATAGGGAATAGCAATCATCTTGATCTCCAACAGAAACTGATGAAAACAGCTCCTCACTGCATTCTGAGCTGGCCACACTTGTTCCACAGGAAGTTAAGTTCCACCTTAAAAACAACACAAAAGAAATCACAACAGAAACTACAGAATCCACACAATTTTAAGATACAAATAGGATACGATTATTACATTTATGAGGAATATGAGCATATTTTTAGATACGATAATGATATTGTGATTATTTTCAAAAGAGCTCTTATCTTTTAAAGATACATACTAAAATATTTATGAATGAATATGTCTGGTATTTGTCTCAAAATTATAAGGAAGGGGTTGAGGAATGAGTAGGGGTATAGATAAAGCACACTGCCACATGTAATTGTTGAAGCTGCACGATGGGTATATGGGGTTCATTACACTATTCTCTACTTTCCTATCTGTCTGACTGGAGCCGGACTGAGTTCAAATTCTTGCTCTGTCACTTGCCTGCTGTTTGATCTGAAGCGAAACAAATCCTCCCCAAGCCTGGGTCATCATCTTTAAAATGCGGTTACTATTTACATTATATGAGAATGCATACAGAGCACTTAGCAGACATAAAATGCGCTCAATACATGGTAGCTATTATTATTAAAGCAAGAGAGTAGCCAGTGCAGGGCAGAGAAAAGCACCAACAAAGTACACAGGTAGAAGCTCAAAGTGTTTCTTATATTTAAATAACTTTTACATATCAGTGATATACAGGATCATTGCAAAGATGCTGGAACAAGAAAGGAGTGATGAATAAGATTAAAATGACCAATAATTCCACTAACTAACAATAAATGATCCATAATGTTTTGGCACTTTTTTCTACATGAATATGTATATTTTTACAGAATCAGCATTGTGTGTGTGTGTATGTAGATAGATATCAGTATCCTACTTTTATTCACTTAACATTATATACTGAACATTTACCCAACTATATTACTTGAAAACATTTTAATGCCTATATAATATTCCACTGATTCAATGTATCATAATTTGTTTAACATTACTCCTTCAATAATAGGTACTTAGGCTGTTTCCAATTCTTTTTTTGGTATTACAAATAATACTGAGATGAAACCGTTTTGTTTATAATTATTTATATAAATATATATAATCTCTCAACACAGATTATTTGAAAGGAAATTACTGAGTCAAAGAATATGAACACTTCTAAGGGTGACAGTATACTTAGCCAAGTGCCATTTCCGAAAAGGCTGCACTAATTTGCCCTCCCCAAAGCAGTTCATAAAAGTGTTCATTTCACCACAACCTTAACAGCACCGAAATTTTCATTTTTAAAAATTTTACCTAGCTGTTAGGAGAAAAACATTTTTCTATCAATTTTTATTTCTTTGATTACTGGCAAGAGCAAAATTAAAAATAATTATTAGCTATTTTGCTACAGCATTTTACTAGGTGTTAATATTTTCCTTGTTGATTTTGTTAGAGTTCTTTATATGTTAAGGATATTAACATTTTGTATTATTTGTTGCAGGGTTATATATTTTTAAAATTTTTTTATCTTGAAATCTACAAATCTGTTTTCTTTTATAAATTTCCACTAGCTTTATATTATTAATGAGATAATCTTCATTGCTTTGGCAGTAGCCTAGGGAAATTAACCCTTAAGACATGATTTAGTATATCTGATACTAATAAGGTACTAAAATAATGACTTCCTGAATAAAATCTTGTTATTACCTATCATTAGGTTGTTTCTCACCTTTCATTAAATCCAGTTTTTTCCTGAACTGTGTATTCATTTTTTAAAGTTCCCCTCTTATTTTATATAGCTAATCTTAATTCCAAAGTTCTTGATTTACAAAATTTGGGCATCCTGACAATTTTATGGCACCTTTTCCTTTGTACTAAAGGTAAAGTATTTTATGGGCTTCCCTGGTGGCGCAGTGCTTGAGAGTCCGCCTGCCGATGCAGGAGACGCGGGGGTATTACAAATAATACTGAGATGAAACCGTTTTGTTTATAATTATTTATATAAATATATATAATCTCTCAACACAGATTATTTGAAAGGAAATTACTGAGTCAAAGAATATGAACACTTCTAAGGGTGACAGTATACTTAGCCAAGTGCCATTTCCGAAAAGGCTGCACTAATTTGCCCTCCCCAAAGCAGTTCATAAAAGTGTTCATTTCACCACAACCTTAACAGCACCGAAATTTTCATTTTTAAAAATTTTACCTAGCTGTTAGGAGAAAAACATTTTTCTATCAATTTTTATTTCTTTGATTACTGGCAAGAGCAAAATTAAAAATAATTATTAGCTATTTTGCTACAGCATTTTACTAGGTGTTAATATTTTCCTTGTTGATTTTGTTAGAGTTCTTTATATGTTAAGGATATTAACATTTTGTATTATTTGTTGCAGGGTTATATATTTTTAAAATTTTTTTATCTTGAAATCTACAAATCTGTTTTCTTTTATAAATTTCCACTAGCTTTATATTATTAATGAGATAATCTTCATTGCTTTGGCAGTAGCCTAGGGAAATTAACCCTTAAGACATGATTTAGTATATCTGATACTAATAAGGTACTAAAATAATGACTTCCTGAATAAAATCTTGTTATTACCTATCATTAGGTTGTTTCTCACCTTTCATTAAATCCAGTTTTTTCCTGAACTGTGTATTCATTTTTTAAAGTTCCCCTCTTATTTTATATAGCTAATCTTAATTCCAAAGTTCTTGATTTACAAAATTTGGGCATCCTGACAATTTTATGGCACCTTTTCCTTTGTACTAAAGGTAAAGTATTTTATGGGCTTCCCTGGTGGCGCAGTGCTTGAGAGTCCGCCTGCCGATGCAGGAGACGCGGGTTCGTGCCCCGTTTCGGGAAGATCCCACATGCCGCGGAGCAGCTGGGCCCGTGAGCCATGGCCACTGAGCCTGCGCGTCCGGAGCCTGTGCTCCGCAAATGGGAGAGGCCACAACAGTGAGAGGCCCGCATAACGCAAGGAAAAAAAAAAAATAAATAAAGGTAAAGTATTTTAAAGCACTGAAACACACACACCCTCTAAACTATTATAGTTCAGTAATATAAAAGCAGAAGTCAACAAACTTTTATAAATAGGCAAAAACCTAAAACTCACCTAAGAATCCTAGAATACCTTGTAACATTACCTAGTTTCATCACATGCTTGCTAAGTAAGCAGCATCATCATTTTTTAAAAATCAACAAACCTGGCAGAATTAACCAAATTTCCTCAGTCATGCAATAAGGCAATAGAAAGCTGTGAATGACAATTACAGTGAAAGTTCTGTCCTTTCACACACTCAACAAACATGTAGTCAGCATCTTCAATGTGCCAAAGCACTGTGTCATGTACTAGGAAAAACTGTTAGATAATTGTTTTTAATGAGAATTTCTTTTTAGCTTCGAAAACTTAGTAGAAATGTGTTTCCCTTCATGAGTAATAATGACTCTTTTAAAAAAAACTAAGCCATATTTAATAACCTAATCATTAGATCACTGACAAGGGAGTCAGGAATTTGCTTGGTTTTGTGCTCTTACCTTAGGGCAAAATCAGGATGTTCCTCAGTTTTCCAGATCTATAACTTTATAACAGATATTGCAAGGTTCTGGGTATTCTTAGAAGCCTTAGCTCCTTGTTCTTTTCTTTTCTTTTTTAATTAACAGTGGCAAGGAAATTGGTCTCATACTTGAAACAATCATTTACAAAATAGAAAAATAGTACTTTGAGTTTTTAAAAAATTCTATTATCTTCTAATATGCAAATATTCTTATTCTTATTATTTTAAGACAAGGTAGATAAAAACCAAGTAGGAAGTACTTTCATCCACTGCTGGTGGGAATGTTAAATTGGCACTGGCATAATCTTTCTGAAAAGCAATTTGGTAGTGTATATATAAAGAGCTTTAAAAAGGTTCATTCCTTTGGACTCAGTAATTGCCTTGCTAAGAATCTATCCCTTTCCCCAGATAGAATTTTGGAAAAAAGATGTATATACAAACATGTCCAAACAATATTATAATAGCAAAAAAAGGAAAAACAAATGCCCCCAAAACACTGGGAATAATTAAATGATATATCTATGTCTGAATAATGGTGTTTTAAAAATCATTAAAAATCATATTTCCAGGCTATTTATTGAAAAAGAAAATAAAATGTAACTGCAAATAACCTAGTCACAAATTATATATATAGACGGATCCTGATTTTTAAAATTATGTATGTACAAAGAAATAACATTAAAAGTAACAACAGGGAATTCCCTGGCAGTCCTGTGGTTAGGACTCGGTGCTTCCACTCCGGGGGTGGGGGTTTAATCCCTGGTCAGGGAACTAAGATCCTGCTAGCGATGTGGCACAGCCAAAAAACAAAAACAAAAACGGTAACATCAAAATGTTGACAGCTGTTATCTTTAGTGAAAAGGATGTGATCTTTATAGTTTCGTATATGCCCACAATTTTCTATAATGAACTTTTATAATAGAAATTTAAGAGATGCTTTTAGACTGTTCTGTTGGTTTCAAATGTGTAATGGAAGAGCACTGTGTACGTGTGCTCAGCACTGAACTTTTCAAATTTACAAAGCCCTTACATCTTATTCCACTAAGAGAAAACTACCTAACACTAAGATCCTAGCTATAACCATGCAATTATTCACAAAGGAGACTTTCTCCATATTTTAAAAGAAATGTTGAAAAGAATCCATGAAATGGAGTTTAACTCAATAACTAGGCTTGCTGCCCAAATTTTAATTAAAAATAAAAGCCAAGAACATTTATCTGCAAGGCTTTTCAGCAAGAATACACAGATGAAGGGCTTTCAGTGGTATTTTTCTAAAATTAAGAAAAGCATGTGCACCACATACATTCTTCTGCAGCCCTTTCTCTCTCAGGTAGACCTATTACCTCTCAGGATAAGAATCCAGGCAATGAGCACTGTGGAATACAGTCCTACTGTCAAGTTGATGAAAGCCATTCCAAATCCATGCCATTTATTCTCAGTTAACAGTCCTCTTTGTATTCATCACTTACTCCCTGCCAGAATCCCCATACAGCCACCCTGAGTTCTGCTACTCCTCTGGAGCCCAACAGGCCATCAAGGTCCCAAGTTAGAGCAGATGACACAACCCCCCTACTTTACTCATTCAAATTTCCAACTCTCCTCCCAGCGACCTCCATTGTCTTGGGATCCTTACCCATCCCTCCTACCCCCTCTACAGTCTGGGAAGTAAACAACATTCTATGTCATTTCTAAGGCTAATTCTTCCATTTGGCCTTCTGAGTTAATCCCATCCATCTCCTGTCATCCCACCTGCTCTTGTATTTTCAATTTCTCTCTTTCCTGTGGGCTGCTTCTAAGGAGCTAAAATACCTGTTCTTGGAAAATAAATAAATAAACAAGGCAAAAAACAAATGAAGAAACCTTCACTTTTTTTTTTTTCAAATTACCACATCTCTCCTTTCTTTCCCTGCTAAATTTATTGAAAAGTGTCTTCTATTCTCTCAGCCTCTGTAACCCCACAGTTCCACTCCTATCACACTACTGGAATCTCTGTTCTAGAAATCTACATTTCTAGCCTAAATAGTTCTCCAAAGCCTGATCCCCATTCTCAATTTGTCACAACAAGCCCCCAAACCAAATTCCTCCTGCCTTTGTAATATATCTCACTTCATGAAACGTGGTTCTCCCACCTGTAACTCACAACTCTTCAGCACCTCTAATTCTCTAACAAGACAGGAAAACTGTGGGTAGAACAAAAGGCACACGGTAGTCTTGGGCTTTTTCTAGTTAATGGTGATTGAAAATGGGGCTCTGAAATCACAGAACTGAGTAACTGCTTTATACAATACGTAGTTCATTTTGTATCCTGCCAATAGGGTATACAAAAGTGAGGCACTGTCCTCCCACATGCTTTTCACAATTGTTCAATGTCAAAGTACTGATGCACTCCTGAAAGAGGAAGAGAATAACACACTGATTAGTTCATATTAACCTCCTTCATCTCGCAACTTAATTATAGGACCTACCAATATCATTATATTTTTTTCAATTTGCTAAACGATATCCTTTTTCGATGACAGTGGAAGTTACCGTGGACAAATGCTAAGAGAAAACCCACAATTACACCAGAAAAATCCTGTCCCCCAAACTAAAAAAAAAAAAAGCCTGAAAACTATATATATATTCCATATTGATATTTCAATTAAAAATGAAATAAGTTTTAAGTTTTTTTGGCTTACTGACGTTTATTTTATTTTCCCCAAATTCTAGACAAACCCAACTTGGTCATAAAATCCTAAAAGATACTCCTAGAAAAGTGAATTCTCAGGAAGCTGGCTACGTTCGTATAATTTATTTTCCACTGAACCTAGACAAGTGACACACCAATCTAAGTCACAGGTGACTCTAAACACAACAAACATTCAAACTTAGGAATCATAAGTAATAGTGCCTTGACTCTCTTGATTAATGAAGACTGCATAGATACCCCCGAGTCCAGTAAACGAACAGACACAAAATCATCATCATCATAAGACCCTTATCAACAGCATTATTTAAACAATCTCCATAGTTTTGTTATCAGGTAACAAGGAAGAAGCAAAATAAAGGTAAATCAAGTACCTACCGACTGACAAGCTTTCTATTTTCAATGAAACTTGTTTTATAATGATTAAACCCAAGGCACGATATCAGAACTCAACTATTCAGATATGATTTCTCTTTTGGATTGTTGCTTGAATTGGTGAATGTACTGTGACCCATACAACTCCAAAATAAAAGAACTCCCTAAACTAAACTTTGCCCACATACATGATTTAGCTGTTTTCTTCTCCCTGAAAAGAAATGACTGGAAGCATATGGTCCTCTCAAACGCCATCCTGAGGAGCGGGTAAGAAGGCAGAACGTTCCAGAAGGAGAAAAGATTTAAAAAGCAAGGTAGCCTAGGGCAGAAACATCACCTGCTGTAAGAATTGCTAATTCTGCTTCCCCTTATCTCCGCTGAGGAGGGTACAGAGCAAGATACACTAGACCTGCTACCATTCCAAGCCTTGTGAAAAGTAGGGTAGGAGAGGGGGGGTTTAAAAAAGCAGGCAGTAACTAGAAAAAATGCTTGACTTGGGAAAACTGGAGCCGAACAAGAACCTCCCCCTCTATCTTCACCACCTCATGCTGGAAAACAACCTTGACCCTACCAAGGTCTGTAAGACAAGGGGTAGAAAAACACAAGGATAAAATGGGGAGGAGGAGAAAGAACAGAACAAGCTGTAAGAAATGTATTATTCACCATGCTTCACTCCCCATCACCCCCACACATTCTGGCAGCACTTACCCTCAGCCTCTGTCCCCACTCCCTTGCCCTCATCATCAGAGCAGGCTAATTCTGAGATCATTTAACTTTCCTGTGTATATGATTTATTCTAGTGCTGCAAAACTTAAAATATCAAATATGGGCACAAGTATTCTTTTACCTTATTTTCCAATGCAAACAATTCTAAGCACACTTGATTTCATAAATATGTTACATTCATGCTATAGTCACATGATGGGTTTCTGTGAGTTAGTCTAAGAAACCATAACAACCATTTATAACACTGGAGCCATTAGTTCTGTTCCAAGTTTCATCACTGGCTCCGAAGGAGTAATCCTGGCTTTGCCTGACTCGGTTTTATTAACTTGGGCCCAGTCTTTTCTCTCTGGGCCTCAGTTTCCTCATTTTTGCAATGAGGATTTGGAACAGCTGTAACAAGTTTACTACCGTTTTCTTTTCACATGTGTCATAGCGATGTTCTGTATGATCATTTAATCGTAACACCTTGTTTCCAGACTATAACTTTCTTTTAGGTAAGAATTATATTTTATATATTCCTTGTACTTGGTAGAAGGTTAGTAACTCTGTAGATTGATTTAAAGGGTTGCGGGGGGGAGCATGCAAAAGGCATTAAAATGTGGAAGGATTTGTTCGTGTTCATATTGTAAAGTGGACCAGAAATCAGAACTAGACTCCTTAATTCAACTCCAGTATTTTCCATAGCTGAAACCCTCTTTCTCTCCCTCCTTCCTTGTTCTCCACCCCTGCCAGGCCTCTGTGTGTGTGTGTGTGTATACACACATATACATATAATATGCACCTATGCTATAGGTTGGGGTATGTGTAAAACATCTTCAATTCCCCCACATTTGATATAACACAAATGCCTGCATGAAAGAATTCTCCAGAACACTCTACCTTCCAATAAATCCAGTTAGGGGATGCACCCTCTGAATAAATTTGTATAAGCAAGCCCATCCTAAGCTTCACTGCATCCTTCCACTGGGGGAGCAAACCAAAGGATGTGCTTCAGGAAGGAATCTTCCAGATATAAGCTTATACATTTTGGCAGGGCCTAAAGCGCTAGGGCAAAGAGTTCATAGGGCAAAGAAAAAAAAAAGAATCGCCTGGCTTCCTAGAGCTTCACTAAAAAAATGGGGGGGTTGGGGGGTGAAAATAGGGCTATGAGACAGGTTAAAAATTGGGAAAAGGAAGATTCTACCTTTTAAAGTTCCACCTTTCAAAAAGATCGACTTTTGATTTTGAGCCATCCGAAATCCTCTCTATGGAGGATTGGATTGTACCGGAAATGGAAGGGGTTAAACTTTTGAGGGTGAATGAAAACAGGGAAGCATCTAAGAATCAAGGGTTGGGGTTTGGGATTCGCAGGGTACAGATGGGGCGGGAGGGGGAAGGGAGGAGTCGCTGGGTCAGAAGATGAATGGGGGAAAAGAGAGAGAGTAAAATGCCGGCCAAAAGGAAAATCGGAGGACAGGGGTGAAATAGGGAGGGGAAGAGGGAAGGAGCCCGGGAATGAGCGCTGGGCGGAGGAAGGTGGGGGAGGGGGCGACTGGAAACGCAGACCCGAGGCGGAGGGCCAGAATGGGGGGAACCCGGCGTTCTCCGGCTGGAAGCAGGGGTGTGGGCAGTCTGCCCCTGCCCTCAGCGGAGGTTTGTACCTGTTGGTGTGGAAACGGTGGAGCGGATCCGTGCGATGGCAAGACGAGAGCTGGCAGCCGAAGTCGCTGATGTCCAGGCAGCCCGGCTCCTCGCTCGGGCAGGTGCCCACCCCGCGAGGGGGTCCCAGAAGCGGGAAGGGCTCCTCAGGGGTTAGAAACTTCTCGTACGAAGTGGTGGCTGACGCTTCGTCGGACATGGTTGGAGATGGCCTGGCTCGGGCTCCCTCTCCGGCCCCCAGCTGCTCCCGCGACCGTCCCTGCCCCCACTCTAACCTGTCCGCTGTCGCCGCCGCCGGGGTGTGCCCGCCGCAGCTCCCTGGCAGGCTGCGCACCGCGGCCCACCGCTGCCCGGGGACTGCCGGGCGGCACGAAGGGGCTGCTCGAGGCTACAGGCGCCTGCCGGCCACTCAGTCAGCGCCTCAGTGGCCTCTGCAACCACCTCAGCCGTCGCTGCCACTGCCGCTGCCGCCGCCGCTGCCGCCCGGCCCAACCCAGTCAGTGCAGCGCCACCGCCGCCAACCGGCCCGCCCACTGCGCTCGCCGCTCGCAACTGCAGCAGTCGGCCAGACACCCGCAGGGAGGGGAAAGGCGGCGGGAAGCCGCTCCCTTTGCCCCCTGCTGGCGCGGAGGAGGAACTGAATCTCCGCCCGCCGCAGCCCGCGCCTCCGGCTCCGCCCCGCCACGCCCTGCCCTTCACGCGTCGAATCAGGGATTCCAGACGCTGGAAAGGCCAGGCGCTTCAGGCCAACCTCCTCCTACGCTTTCTCACCCTTGGCTGATTGCTAAGCAGCAAGCCGCAGTCCTGAGAAAAGGGACTTGGCCAAGGTCACACTGCGGTGCGTGAGAAAGAATCTGGAGGCTCTGGTTCCCAGCACACTCGATCACCCTGTCCCAATTCAACAAGTAATTATTGAGCTCCTAAAGTGTGTGTGCCCAGCACTGTGCAATGACCTGCAGGGGAAGTGGGCCAAGTAGGAAGAAATAGTCCCTGCTTCACCCTTGATCACCTAACCCCAGAACTGCGCAACAGCCACCAGGCTACTTAGAGCTGCTGGACACGTAGTGTTCTTTTGTGCTCTGTGCTCTTGCACGCATTATGCATTCTGCTTGGAATGCCCTGCCGTTTCTCCACTGCTAATCCTTAAAGCCCAGCTCAAACGTTACCTCCTCTGTGAAGCCTTCCCTGACACCCAAATGAGACTTAGGTATTTCTGCCAATGCTCCCGTAGAAGATATATTATGGCGCTAAACTTGTTCAACTTAAATCAACTTCATGCTTTTCTTTCTTCCTACCTGTTTCTCTTTTCTCTGTTTTCTAGACAGTGGTTCCAGATCTTGGACGCGTAAAATTTTAAAAAAATAGTCGGAGGAAAACACAACATTGCCAATTACTTATTTTGCCAAACAAAGACGATTTTTAAAACTACCTACTACTATTTCATAAAAGGAAGCACATTTTAATATGAAATGATAAGGGCATAAACTCTCAATAAAAAATATATTTAGCTTCACGGGAAAACATCACAATGAACTTTGAGGGAAGCATAGAACTAAAGTAGGTGGAAAGAAGAGGAACAGTGAAAGAATGCAGGAGGAAGGGAAGGAGAAAGGGGGTTGGAGAAGTGGAGAGTTTTCACCCGAGCCCCAAACGGTCTTAAACTCGGTGCCTTGTCCTACCAATGCAACTTATAATGAATACAACTCAACCACTCCTTAAAATTTACATGTTGCTTCAGTTATTTGGTTACCCAACTGTTGAGTATGTGTGTCTTCTTTAACTTAATTTAGAGATTGTAGAAGTGAGAGTGATGATGGTTTGACCTGTGGTCCCAATGCACCCATTCTCAGGGGCCTGGGACTAGTGAGATAGAATGGCCCATAGCTCAGTCCCCACAAACAAGAGACTTGATTGTCCAAATGAAGCAAGAGTCAAGTGCTGCATTATAATGTAGGTACTCAGGTAATAGCACCAGAAAGTCTTAATAAGAAGCTAACAAAATAACCTAATTTAAACATATATTTTGTACACACATTTTAATAGGACAGTGTTTTTCAAACTGGAATCCAGTGACAGTCTGAGCTTTTCTACAAGTATGTCTTACTTTTACATCCAGTTTCAAGCATATTCTGGAGTACCTGGATGACTGAATGATAACAGCTGCCACATAATTTGGACATGTATTTGAGTCTGTTTTTAAAATCAAGTTGGCACAAGGTAATACTACTTTGTCATAAGCTAGTGAGAAAATAAGTGAGGTGAACCTCCTACTTCATGGCTTACTGTACAAATAAAGATTTTCCAGTAGTTTGCGAGAGGAAAGTGATGGGAAAGGAGAGTCCTCACAAGACATACAAGCATGCTGAAGGTCAAGAGCACACACTGGCCAGTCAGTAGTATGTTCAGGTTTCTAAGGGCAGTTTTGTCTCAGCAAACATCATGTATCACATTAAAAGAACATTATTTTTTATTTGTGCATAGTTTGTAAATTTACTTTGGTGTTGAATTTGTATAACAGCTTTATGAACAGCAGAGTTCATATTAATTTTGTTTGTTTATATTTAAGAAATAGTAGTATACAAAGAATTTACATAAATGATTGGGTCTGAGAGAATGTTTTTAAGAGTTCCCTTGAATATAATTTTCAGCCGAGAAACAGTGATATGACAGTACATAGAGTATGTGCACTATGTGTGTAATGTTTACTTAAATACGTGGTAATTATGTACTAATACATCTTTACTATGCTCTTAGCCACTAGGAGTTGATGACTGTTGTGCATCCTCCCTTCTTGCCCCACTTCAATTTGTTTGGTTTGTCCCTTGGGTGTACCAGTCTGAATGCATTTACCCAATTCGTCCCTCCCTTCCATTATAATGGAATGGAATAATTGTAATACGTATGTATTAGTTCCCTACCTTCTTTGAGGGTCTGAGCCTGGAAGGAAACTCTGGAGTGATCTACCTTCCTCAGATGCATAACTTAGTACCCAGAGAGTTGATGAACTTCAAGAGGGTTGTGAGAGACTGAACAGGATTGAGAATTGCCAACCAATCTTTATCGTTGTAGTTACTATTAGAAAAATATTGAATTTGACCCAATGATCTATGATCTAACCCTTATAATTTTTCATGTGACTGATGGATGCAACGTATGAGTGTGTATGTATTTACATCTATATATATTAAATTATATATATATATATATATATATATATATAAAATCAGCTCCCCAAATATCACCAACACAATTTGAAAAACAAAGCTTGAGTATATTACTTATCACAGCAAGGGAGAACATCTATTCCACAAAGATTTGGCAGTGTCTCAGAGGGAAGGGGTAAGGATAGAATTCATTAAAATTGGAAGTTTGGTTTAAAGTAGAGATTTCAGTGTGGAGACTCAATTAGGATTCAGAATCATGATACAACAGTCCAAGAGTGGTGGAAGCAGCAAGGCAAGAATTGAAGTAAGAAATTCAGAGAAACTTAGGGTGCAAACTTTGTTGATGCTTTCCATTGAAGAGTTGGTGAGTCTTTTGGGAAATTCTTATGAAGGGTATACGGTCTGTGTCTAGACTAATTTTTTTGCATGTGGATGTCCAGTTGTTCCAGCACTATTTGTTGGAAAGGGTATCTTTTCTCCATTGTACTGCCTTTACACCTTTGTTAAAGATTATTTTATGTGGGTCTAAACTGGGACTCTTTGTGCTGTTCCACTGATCTATTTGTCTAGTCTTTTGCCAATACCACACTGTTTTGATTACTGTAGCTTTTATAGTAGGTTTTCAGGTCAGGTAGTGTCAGTTCTCTGACTTTGTTCTTCTTCTTCAACATTGCATTGGCTATTCTGGGTCTTTTGCTTTTCCATATAAACTTTAGAATCAGTTTGTCGATATCCACAAAATAATTTGTTGGGATTTTGATTGGGATTGCATTGAATCTATAGATCAATTTGGAAAGAACTGACATCTTGACAATATTGAGTCTTCCTGTCCATGAATGTGAAACATCTCTCCATTTATTTAGTTCATGTTTGATTTCTTTCATTAGAATTTTATAGTTTTCCTTATATAGATCTTATATATATCTTGTTAGATTTACACCTAAGTATTTCATTTTGGGAGTGCTAATGTAAATAGTACTGTGTTTTTAATTTCAAATTCCACTTGTTCATTGCTGGTATACAGGAAAGTGACACTTTTGTATATCAACCTTGTATCCTGGGGAAGTTCTTGGGATGAGCAATCAAACCATTTGCCTGGGCAGGACAGTCCTGAAAATAAAGAGATGCTCATGAAGACAGAGGAATAGCAAAGTTATATTAATATAGACAGTAAAGCATAGTTTTGATTCTCAGAGTCCAGGCTGAGTGTGGGGCTAGTTTGGGCTCTCAGTTTTTCCTTAAATACATCATTAATGTCTAAGGTGTGATCATTCTGGATTGTCACTGTTGCTTGAGGTGTCACAATGATATGTCAAGTTTCTGTTTATGGTTGTTCCAGTCTCCAAGTTTCCCACAGTGGTTGTTTATATCTCTGTATCAGGTTTTTCTGCTCTTTCTGCTATATAATCTTTTGCTTGATTGTTTGACGGAACAACAGCTGTGATGGAGATCATAAATCTGAAACTGCAAAACAAACAATACTAAATACTAAAAGAAGGATTATGATCAGATTTTGTATGTTTGATTATGATCAGAGTTTGTGGTACACTTCTCAGCCAGGAGCCAAGAGTGCCTACATTAAACCAAGGGAATATATCCCATCCCTGATCTGAAGAGTCTGCTGAACCAGCTATGAGGTCATTCTCCAGATTACCCAAATTCTGATTTCTTGGTTTACTTCCTTGATTTTTAGTAGTATCACAGATCTCAGAGAAGTCTGCAGGGATGTAAGCACAACATTCTACTGTTAAAGTAGCTCACATTCTCCCTCAAGAAGCCAATCATATCTAAGACAGTTCAATTCTGAACCATGGCCTGCTCAATTTTATGAACTTCTGAGGCAAGAAGTTCTACCATCTTAGTGGCTGTATTAGTTTCCTAAGGCTGTTATAACAAATTGCCACAAACTTGGTGGCTTAAAACAACAGAAATTTATTCTTGCACAGTTGTGAAGGCTAGAAATCTGAAATCTGGCAGGACAACACTCACTCTGGAGGCCCTAGGGGAGAAGTGGTTCCCTGCTTCTTTCAGCTTCTTGTAGCTACCCTGGCATTAATGCGCATGTAGCTTCATTTCTTCAACATCTGCCTTCATCACACTGCCTTCTTTGTGTGTCTGTCAAGTCTTCCTCTGCCTCACTTTTATAAAGACACTTGTCTTTGGATGTAGGGCCCACCTGGATAATCTAGGATAAGGTCTCCTCTCAAAATCCTTAAATTTATCTTTTTATTTTTGCTTACCATATATTGTAATATTCAAAGATTTCATGGATTA